TCGGCTTAAAATTAAAATATAATAAAAAGCCTATGAGATGCACTCGGTAATAATCTTGCCTTTAATTTTTATAATAGGTCAATTCACTCTAAATTTTAAAAKAACGGAGATAAAYRTGATCTGYTGAGCGTAAAATTTGCTATGCTACGCACTTGTATGACGGAGACAACACATGTGGGTTTGGCGTCCTCTTAAATAGAAATAAAGAGTTCATGTTAAAATACGGGATGATTTATGAAGCGTAAAACACTCATTATTTCAAAAAGTGTAAATGTTTTTGAAAATATAATTTTACATAGTTTCAAGTTGTTTACAAAACAACGTTTTTATTAAAAAATTATATTTTTAACATTTTTTTTTATCCCTATAATTTTTTTATTTTTTTACTTTATTGAATGACAACATGTAGTTTTAATTTGATATTCCAAAACAGAATATTTTTCTAAGTAATTTTATGTATAAAAATTGAATTTAGGGCAAGTAGTTTATGAGATATAGGTATTTAAATTTAGATGAAGCGGAGTAGAGTGGTATGGGGTTACTCCGCGACATATTTGTCCACTACTCTGCTCATCCAAATTTTAAATATTTATAACTCATAAACTGATTTGTTTGATCAGTGTATTAAAATTCAATGTATATTTAGAAAGATTTTTTTTGTTTATTAGGTGGTGCTGGTGGCAAAGGCGTTTGGGGAAAGTTAGGCGAAGAGAGTGATATCGATGCTGCTATTGATATGAAGGATCCTAATTATGATAGTGATTTGTTGGATGATGACAATATTGTGCTGAGAGAAATCACCCCAGAATCATCTGATGAAGAACTCAAGGTAATTGTTTAATTATTCTTAACTATTAAAAGATTGTTTAAATTATATTCCATCATATCACTAATTACATAAATGTCACAAGCTATACCTACTATTATTAAATGTTAGTATTATTGTTATCAAACTTGTCAGAGGTTAAAGTTGCTGATACATTTGAAATATGATAAATATTTATATCATAAAATGTTTTATTTAAAACTGGTACCTATTACAGCTTTAAAGATTGAGCTTATATCAGTTAATCTTTTGTGGGTATGATTAAAAACCGTTGATATTTTTKATAGCTTTGGAAGCTACACGTAAAGCTAATCATTTTTTGTGCTTGTATATCAATCTTTTTAAGTTATTAAAGGCTAGTCATTATAGAAATGCACAATTTTTCACAAAACTTGAAATCAGTTGTTTGAATTTGACTTATATGTATTTTAATATGATTTATAATAATAATATTTGACGAGATTTCAATAAGATATTTCCTATTTTATTAAAAAAAAAGTTACTGATAGTTATAGGGCTAGTTGTTTTTTTTCAAATTTAATGTACTACGACCACTACTATTGGCTTAATAACAATTAATAACAATTATTCTATAATTTTGACTTGTGCACAATGTTTTATTTATTAATAATTTTACTATTTTTTTTTTTTTTAGAATTCTATTACATTTAATATTCTCGAGTATTATGAACATGGTGATACTGATGAAGCAGCAATGACACTAAGCGAGCTAAACATAGTTAGCAAATGGCATTTGGTTAGTGTAATATTTTTCAATTGTAAAAAAACACGTTTATAAATCTTCATATTATTCTAGATAACTCAAGTTGCTGTTGAAGTAGCTCTCGAGCATAAACCATCACAGAGAGAAATGACTTCAGTATTGATATCAGATTTATATGGGCGTTTAATCAAGCAAAAGGAAATAGCCCAGGGATTTGATGTTATATTGGCTAATCTTCCTGATCTCATTCTTGATACTCCTGATGCTCCTATTGTTGTTGGTTTGTTCTTAGCCAGAACCATAGCAGATGACTGTCTCCCACCAAAAATAATAGACTTTTTTAAGGAGAAAAACTACAGTGATTTAGCAAAGTAAGTAAACTTAATATAACCAATTATGATACATAAATTAACTAATATACATTGTTTTATTATTTTCAGTCAAGCATTGATCAAGGCCCATAACTTGTTGAATATAAAACACGGACTGACCAGACTTGATAATGTTTGGGGTGTTGGTGGTAGCCTGAGACCAGTGCAGTATCTTGTGAGACAAATGAACATGCTTTTGGATGAATATTTATGTTCTGGTGATCTACAAGAGGCTATCAGATGTATTTTGGAATTGGAAGTACCACATTTCCATCATGAACTTGTTTATGAGGTTTTTAATATTTGTTTGAATATCAATATTTTAAGTTTACTATTATAACAAATTATAATATATATAATTTTATAATCCAAAATGTATTTCCAGGCTGTTATTGATGTTATTGAAGCTATGAATACTCATACTGAAGTTTCTATGTGCAAATTACTTAAAGCATTGTATGATGCTATTATTATAACTCCTGAAATGATGAATAAAGTATGAAAAACAACACAAAATATAATTTAGTCACTTATTTAAATTATAACTTTTTTTAGGGTTTTGATAGAGTATTTGATGTTCTTGATGATATATCAATTGATGTTCCATTAGCATCTGCTGTCCTTGAACGTTTTTTGGATAAGTGCATCAACGCTGGGATTTTGCAAAGGGATGTGTTGCTTAAAATACCAACTAGGTGCTTATTAATATTAATAAACTATTTGAATTTTATGTTATATTCATGATAACTATATTACAATTTTATAATTTTTAGAGCATCACGTAAACGATATGTATCTGAAGGTGATGGTGGTCGCCTCAAAGAAGCATAATAAAACAAATAAAAGAACCATTATCAGACCTATACTCCTCTTCTCCTCTACCTCTAGAGTACAGTATTTTTTTTTCTCAACTTGATTTGATTTGATTTTTTTTTTTGTCATTGTCATTATTTAATAAGATATTAATTATAAAATATAATTATATCATTAAAATTAAAATCGACCTTAGAATTTAACACTAATTTCCATATTCCAACACTACTTTTAGTAATGTAAGTAAAAATGTGTTATGGATATGCTAACAATTGTACTACTTAGCTGTATTATTATTGTTATTATGCCAGCTAAGTTATTGCTTATGAATGTTAAAGATATAATATATTATTAATACTTCAAGAATTTAGAATTGATTATAAGCAATATTAGTTGTCCCAATAATAACATGAATTTATCATTTATTAAATTATTATATTCATGTTTGACATATTAGTTTATACTGTACTCATTAGCATCACGTGGTCGAATGAATTAGGGAGTTCTTATTAAAATTTAAGGTACATTAAAAAAAAAAAACTTTCTTAACTATAAATTTTTTTTTAGATTGTACAATTCATTGGCTTTTGAGATAGTTTATGCAGATAATTTTTTTACTACTTTTTCATGTAAATTTATTCGACATTTTAAATTTATGTATTGTGTATTTTCCAAATTAGGAGAACCATTTTCTAAAATATTTGTAATGAAATATTGTATTCTGTTTAGTACAAAATTATATAATATAGATATTATGTATCATTCTTAAGCAATATTTTAATCATTATGCAAAAAGTACATTATTCCTATTGACCCTAATGATGTGTTTCATTAAATAACTATATTTAATATCAGAATAATTAACTATATTATACTCTGTTCAAGTTAAGTAACATATACTTAATGGAAATGTTAGCCACCTTCACTTAGTCCACCTGCATGCCTGCCGTGCAAAATGTCCACACACCTGSTCACAATTTTCACTACCAGGTGTGGTTCTTAACTTGATTGGAGTATACATGTAGTTATATTATAGGTGCTCCCTAAAAGCTTAATCGTGTGTTCAATTTACAAAATTAGCACATTTATAAAGAATTTTGTATATTTGATATTTATGTTATATTGATAAAATGATTTACTTTTTATATTTTACTATTGAAACAAACAAAAACATAATGTTACTTATTTTATCAGTTTAATTAATTAAATATATAGCTTAGTAGTTATATTTAAAACAATTTTTATGAATAATGCATATTTTTTTTTTAAGTGTAAAATTATTTTTTTTAATAAGATTATCAGTTTTATATCTTTATTGTACTTCATGCAGAGTATAACATATAACTGATTATTTTAATACTTAYTTTTTTTATTTTAGAATAAAGAAAAACTTAAGTACAATAAAGTTTATACTTACCCAAGACAAGTGGAAAAAAATCTATACCCAACCAATTAAGATTAAAATTTAAAATGATATTTTAGGTTAAATATTTAAAGCATAAAATGTATTGTGTTTTAAGCCATACTTGTACTATATGTTTGCTTCCCAGACAAATATAATTACATACTTTTACCCCTTAACCAAATCACTAGTCAGCAAAAATATATTAAAATGTTTGAAAACTTGAAAAATTCAAAATATAAATATAATCTACAACTATTATATATGATACTTTGTACTTWTTACATCAATGTGTCTTAAGTCTTTTATATTTAAAATATAAACTCATAGTAAATTGCAGTTAATACTAATTTTATTTTTATTACTTAATTATAACATAGGTAATTACAAGATACCTAAGTCCTAAGAATATGGTTCTGGTGGTGTTTTCATTTAAGACCTGTTTAAATACAGTATTTATTTAGCTTATAGCATATTATTGTAAAACAACATTCTCTCTAAAAATGTATGTACGATTAGTGCAAGGAGTGAACACTTAAACTACATAATATGTGATTTATGTAATTGAATAAAATTATTATTTATTTAAATAGCTAACTTGAGATATTGTTTGTTTAAGACTGAACTATGAACACAATTTAGGAGTTTTTTTAAATTAAAAACCATAGTATTAATCATAAACTTGACAACAAAAATTGAATTCTTCATTTATTCAAAATAATTCATTGAATAGATTTATTTATAAACAATTGATAAACCAAAGATAATTAACGATTTAGAGTAAGCAAATTTAATGTACAAATATTTTCAAACCAATATTGTTTATTTGTAAAAACCAAAAGCTAATATCTCTGTAGAACCTGCGGTTATGGTATATACTTTTACTGGCTAAAAATTTACTCATACAATTTTGACTTGTGTCAAAAACTATTATTCTTAGATACCTTAAGGCTGAAAGATATTAGAATGGTTTAGACTTCTTACGAATACTGTTTCATGTTACGTCCAAGAGGTGGTGGTGACTTGTTGATCACATAACAGAAAATTGTATACTGAAACGCTCACCTAGTTCAAATCTGCAACAGTTCATTAAATACATTTATAAGATTTTATATAAATATATAGATAGATTACTCATTGTTCACATAAACTTATGATTGACAAATGACATTGTCAATCGTAACTTTTTACCTATGCAGAATAATAGTTTTTTAGCTCAATTGAAACTTCCAATGTATAATAATTCCTCATGTAACTACTCTACGAATAGTATGAGAAACTTGTACCTATTCATATTTATCTATATGACTGTATATTTTATAGGTACAATTACATAGTAAGTCGCACAACATAAAGATAAATATTTTAAAATCGTAAAACAATAGAACTKCCTTTGCCTATATTATTAGAGTTCGTCGTCGATAACTTTATTGTATTACACTATTAATTGCTGTTTATTTCTGATTAAAAATAGTTTATTTTGGATAATGCTAAGCTATAATATATATTACTGGCTACTGTACTATATTGGAACCTACTAAAATGTATAATAAAAATGGATAATTTAATACAAGGTTTAATCATAATATTCTTCGTAATGGAAGTTATACAAATTTAATATTAATAATAATACAAATATAATATATATTATACATACGATTTAGTCTGGTAACTTATAAAATAAATCAGTAGGTACTTATTATTTATTTATTGCAGATGATTATTGTAACATGTAATGGCTTTTTTAGTGGCAGCTAACTGTTAAAAGCATACGTTAGATTCCATAAAAAAAGCGTTAACCTTGTTACATAAGTATAAATAAAACACAGTCAAATATTGATACATAATTAATTATTGAAAAACGTTAAAAATTATAATAATGACAATAAAATAACCGTCACGATGTGTTTATTACGAAATACTAATGATCAAAATGTACACCATGAACATCACTTTTTCATATCGTAAAGGAAATGGAGACATCCTGTTCGATAAATAAAAACCTATTAACGAGTTATCTTTCAGGAAAAAAAAAATTGAAATCTGCCATGACTCAGATAATCCTATTTTTTCTCTAAAAAGTGACCGATATAGAATATTAAAATATATTATAATATATTTTATTGTTTATAATCTAAATGTATAATTTGTTATTCAACGAATGATAGGAATTTATAGAATATCACAATATGTCAAATGTAATACATTCGATTGTGAAATAATAAAATGTCGAAAATAGAAGATAATATTATATTACTGTATAATATATCATATTCGTAAGAACGTAGCGATTTATTTAACGAGTGACTAATCATTTCGAAAAGTATTTGATTTTTTGAAAATATTATTATTTTTTTTTAAGTTTTAAGCATTGCAATATCAATTTACAATACATTTTTTAATTTCATATTCCAAAGCAAGAATATTTTTTTGGATGATTTTGATGTATAAAATCATATAGATATTGGTTAGGTACCACAGTTTATAACTTATAATTTTGTATATTATTATGTATTTACTATGAGTTAAGTCGATTGAACTGATTG